TAATTAGCTAAAGGGTTCCAACTGGTTCTACAAAATGGAATATTTTATTGAACACCACTTCTTCCTTCCTTCTTCACGCATAACCATCACTTAATAGGCAGATCCAAAGGCATGAACAGGTGGTAGGAAAAGGAAGAGAAGCAACAGTGGTCATGATATGATACCTTTTGCAGAAGAAGAGCTACTAGTATGCTCTTCTAGATTCCTTCCTACTTTGGAAATAAATATTATCTAGATATTTTGAGTCAGCAATTTCTGCCTTGAAGTTCTGATGGGCACGTTGACATATAACATGATGGTCCCCTTCGCCTCAATAAAGTTGCTGGATGTCACAATATTCTTAAGTCAAATCCTCAATTACCCATGGAATGTCTGGAGGACAAGCACCACAATATCTCACGATTCTGGTCCCAGTGCTCATAGCATTTCCTTTCCTGTTGGGGATGCCCAGAGAAACTAGGGAAAGCGATTGTGTTGTCAAACATTACACAGTGCACGGCAAGCTCCAAGCTTACTGTAATGTTAGAAAAAGGAGAACAAAATCAAGTTGTGTGAGGGTGACTAGAGTAAGTTTTGGGGATGAGGCAATTTTGATAATTACCAGATTTTATGTCATTATCTTTAAAGGCTGCAAATGGTTTTACACTCGCAATCCCATTTTTATGACTACTCTGCGACGTTTGTTAAGTACTCACTCCATTTTATATATGTGGAAAATCAGGCTCAGAGGAATTAAATGACTTGCCCCAGGACCCACTGGCTAGAACTGGCCTTTGACTAGGATTTTCTGACCCGAAATCACTCTTCTCTCATCTATACATATCTGCATATGTATGTGCACCTATGTATACACACATGTATGTCTATATATGTGTGTGTGTCTACACACACCTACACACCCACATAGACACTTTCAGATGCTGGCAGTGATGTCATACTGGCTGGAGGGTAATATTTATAGTGAAGGTAAAGGAGTAGAGGGTAGGCTACCCAGGTTTTCCTATAGATATATGTTACCTGACAATGGAAAGTATCTTATCGAAATCTACGGTGTCTCTGTCTCCCACCTTTGTCACTTCTAAAACTGTTTCTAGTACCAAGGAAAAATAACATAAAACCCTAGGTAATCTAGATGCTTACTAATGGTGGCCTGGGGAAGGTCCCTTATGGCATGGGAGCAGGGCGTTGGCCGAGCTCCTTTTCCCTCTTCAGGTATCTACATTAAAGCCGTCTCACCAGTGTCTGAGCAGCAGCAGGGGCCACAGCTGCCATAATACTGGTGGCTGGCTCCCTGTACAATATATTAGGTGAAATGAAAGCAGAAGCAAGAGAGAGAGAGTGTCAGGGCTGTCTGAAGCATCATTCCAAATGGTATGGATTTAACAATACTTAATTTAAAAAACACCAGCTTGGACAGGAGCAAGCTGTTAACATTCAGTGTGCTTTATGGCAGGAAAGAGTGAGCTAAACTCTCCGAATTTCTCTCCCTGGGGAGAATGCATTACAGCGTCCGCGCCAGAGCCACCTGTCTCTTCCTGAGGTTGGGCCTCCTCACTTGGCCCTCCAGTTGCAGTTCGTGGAGTGGAGAGGGCAAAGGGTCTTCTGGAAAGAACTCAGGGGTGGGAGACCTTGGTGAGCTCAGTAGAACTCCATCTCCCCTCTTGCAGGAGGTGGTAACGGCAGTGTCTGAGACTTTCTAGCCTCACAGGCATGTATGAAAGTGGTTTAATTTCCCTGGCTAATTCTGAAAATTAAAAAGAGGAAAACATAGAGTGGGGATGAAGAAGATGAAACTACAGGAAGCTGACTGCTACTCTCAGGGGCACAGCTGCAATCTGACCAGGAGTTTGTAGCTCTCCATTTCACCTAACATCCTTTCAACACCAAAGCAACTGGAACGACCGTTTTCAAATCATCTTTCACACATGACCTCATGTGATGTGAGCAGAAACTCTGTAAGGTAGAGAGTGATTATTATCCTCACTTTATAGGTAGCAACACTGGTGCTCTTCTCTGTTAAACACATTCATCCACATTACTTATTATCAGGTAGCAATTCGGGGCTCTATCTGAGGTCTTTCACCTGGCAAC